GCATGTAAGCTACTAAGGAGGACAGTGCAAAACCTCTTTCAGAAGTTGTACGTTTCCATTGCATAGTGCTGCTGTCATTCATTCCTTTTGCCTTATGCAGTGTCTCTCGCTAGTACATTGTAGCTGTTCACCTCTTGTCACATACCACTGGTAGTGGCCAGCAGAGATCCACAGTGGTCAACTGGTAAACAATTCCTTAAATCTTCCTAGGACAGCCATGCCTCTTTCTTCGCCATGCTATAGCTCCACACGCAACAGCTACTTGTGTGTTATTACCTGTACTGGTTGCATAGATCAGTGCTGCAGAGTGTTCCGATTCACACTTCAAGAACCAAGGTATGCACTTGTAATTACTCTTGCTGACCTCTGTAGAAATCTTGGTGCAGTCTCTGCAGCAGTAGGATGTGCCCTCTCTCTGCCATGCACCTCCACACAACCTAGTGGCATCCATACATAGGGTCTCAGTCACACTGTTCCGTAGGTCTTTTAATTAAAGATGCCCTTGATCTATGATCCTGCCAAAGACCACACAGGCTTCCCGATGCAGGAACTCATCATATCAGTACAGGCGTGGTCAACCAGGATGTTTCTGAAATGGGTGAATTTAAAAAGAGCAGACAGTTCATCTCCAACTGAGGTTATGGAAAGCACTGGCATAGCTTTTTTCCAGGAGCTGGCCAGCTAATCGACACATGCTCTTGATTTCCTTCTTGTTTATGGCTTATTCAAATTAAACTGCAGAAATATCAAGAAGTTCACCTGTAGTCCTCCTTAGGATTTGTCACCAATGCAGATTATTGAGACAAAAAAAAAAATCACAGCTGTTTGTTTGGCAACAGCTCTGAGTCTAGAAAGCTTGAGCAGTTTCCCAGCAGCCAGGAAAGATTCCAAAACTCACTTGGAGCTGTGGTTACACTGCCCTGTGCAATATATTTGAGTAGAACAACCTGAATAGGATTAGTTCAGAAACGTTTCCCAGCTTCTTTCTATTTATGGCAAGGAAATGTTTGGCTAGGCTCAGTCGAGCCTGACTCTGCAGTGTGAGTGACTAAGCACCATTAAGAAGTTCTCAGGAAAGCTCAGCATCTTAGTTAGTCTTCAAAGCCTGGATTGACTGACTGTCAAAAGCTTTAGTGCAGTTAGAGGCCAAGCAGAGATCTTGAGGTCACTTCTGAGTGCAATAATTATTACGGTGTGCATGTCACCTGGAGTACACTGCCTTCTCTGGATACAAGCATTAACACTTTTGGGTCTTAAGTACAAACTAATGACAAACACCCTGAGTGGACCTGTCACTTCACTCCCTGCACCCTGCTCTGGGATTATTCCACCAAATCTTAGCATACATTAGAACTGGGTGGTCTTTTACTCATTATGGCTCGTGCGTGACTACCATCATTCTCTTTCAGGCTAACACTGGTGGTACACTACCCCACAAAAAAAAAGAAGAAAACAAGATTGTCGGCACAGTGACAGCTGCACTCTGTGCTTATCCATGAAGCTATAGTGATCATCTTAAGGCAAAAGACCCAACAAGTCTGCACCAACTAATGGTCTGTAGGACCACACTGGTATGTAGGCCTACATACCCCATTGCCTCAAAAACTTATCGGGAATAGTGGCTGCTTCTGTGGTATCTGTAGAATACTGATCAAAAAATGACCAGGTGAACCTCTCTCTCCTTTTCTAGGAGCAGTAAATAATGGGACCAATAAGAAAAGGTGTGCAAAGAAGACCAAAGCCAAGTGGATTCATTTGGTGGCAGGGATTTGTGTGGCCAATGAAGATGCACTGCTGGGGGCTAAGTGACTCATGAACATTTAACAGTGGCTCTGTCACAGCTGGACTCTGTCACAGTTGCGTACAAAGATGTTGCAAACTAGTTGGGTCTGACTGCTTCTTCCCCAGCTGTGCAAGGCATTTGGGCTTTGGACTGGAGTATAAAACACTGGCAAGAGAGTTCAGACATCAGAGGCCGAAAGGTCTGAGTGGGCAACACGAAATAAGGAGGTTAAGCAGAATTGGTCTCGTTTGTAAACAGGATGTGGTTATTGGGTAAGAGCTGGAGGCCCCGAAGAAGCTCTGAAATACAGCAGCTAAATCCTGAGAGATAATGGGGATGTTTGCTGAACTACAAAAATTAAAAGGCCTACTACTACTGTTCCCACTGATGTCTCAGTGAAAAGGAAGGTTGCCACTATTTTTTTACAGGAAGAGTTGAAGTCCCAGAAAGCACTGGCTTGTTGAATGGCATCAAGTACAAAGTGGGAGGGATTAATCGTTTTGCAAGTATTAGTACAATGTTGCAATAATGAATGATATTCTCCTTGTGTTCTGTGCTAATGTAAACAGAAAATGAAATCAATCTCTCCTCTAAAAATGTATATTCCAATTAAAGAATGGATTAAAGGGCCAAACAGAAGAAAAAGAAGAAGAAAACGAAGAAGAAAACGAAGAAGAAAATGAAAGTGACTGTAGTATGCAAAAAGAGTGCTTTTAAAGTTCTTTAATTCTTCATCCAGTTTCGATGGTTGTGATTAATATTACTATAAATAATGAGACTAGCTGCGCTATGGAAGTTATAACTAGAAGTGTTTGCAGGGCCTGGCCTAACATATACTGACAACAGAACTCAAATAGACTATAACTTAGATTCTTAAAGTTATATCTGTACACATCTTTGCCTGTAACAGTCTGTGTGTACCATTTAGTCAAACATGGCCAAGTTCTAGAATTTTTCTTCCCAGTTTAAAATAAGCATGTGTGAATAGATGGAAAATTTAGACGTTATTTCTGTAACCTATAAACTGTTAGCTAAAATATGTAATGGTAATTAAAGACATACTGAAAATGCACAATTTCTTTTTTAAAATTAAGTCAATTAAGATATTTACTGATCTTTATTTATGTCTACTTATTTTATTTCTAGGATTTTTGCCATCTCGGGAAGCATTCTTTCACATTTTACCAAGATCATGTGAGGAAGTGTCCAAGTGTTTTGGTAACACAGGGAAACAGCTCTCTAAGTTCATGACTCAGTCACTTCCTAAGAATATATAAACTGCCTTGGTTTCTTTCAAATGCTTAGCCATGATATACCTGCTGGCAGGATGGCTGTAAATTGTCATGGGGTCACAGGTCTACAAAGAGTTTGTGGAACTCGCACGCCTGAGGTCATGATGATGGCCGCTTCCTAAGTGCTTTGCTGCATCGCGATGACGCTGATTCCTCTCTGCACTATTACAATTAGTGCGCTAATAAAGCATGCCTGGCTGCCAGGCTGAAAACACCACTTAAAAGGACCATCTTACTGTGTGTGGATCCTTTTATTGCTAAGGCTCTCAGGCCGTAGCTACTCTGGAGATGTGAGCCAATGTCTTGAATTGCATCTCTACAAGTTTTTCCCTCCAAAAGCGATGACTGATCTTCCAGTCCATTTCAGCTGAAGAGAAACTTCAGGAAAGAGTCAGAAACAATGATTACCTTCAGCACCGTAGTAACAACAACTGAAACAAGCGTAACGTCTATTACCTGACCATGGACCACATAATCCAAGACCGCAAACTAGTAATAAGAGATAAATAAAAGCAGAATACGTATAAGCAGGGCTTATACGACAGCGGATAGGCACGTTTTGCTCTGTGCCACCAGCTTCAATTAGTTTGGCTGCCGGATGAAGAACGGGTGGAAGCACCTCCGTCACCCCGGGGGCTCGGCTCGGCTCGCCACGCGGGGGCTGGCGGCGACTTCTTCGCCCGGCGGTGGCCAGCTCCGCGGCAGCCCTCGGTCCGGGGTTCCAGGTCCTTTGGGCTACGAACAGCAAACGCGCCCAGGCCGGGGCCGCGCCGCCCTCACCGGCGCGGCGGTCGGGGAGAGGGGTGCGGGGGGCGATCGGCCCCTCCGTTAACCATTACGACCGTCGGAAACGCTCCTCCACCTGGCCCCCCCAGCCCCGCCGCCGCACCGTCACAGGGAAACCGCCGGCGCTGCCCCGGCCCCGGCTGACACCCGCCACCACAGCCCGGGCCGCCGCCGCGGGATGAGACGCAGCACTCCCCCCTCCTCCCCCCGGAGCCCGCAGCCGCTGGGGTATCTTCCGTGGGCAACCCCACGCGAAGCCCGGCTCCCCGGGAGCCGCCGTGCGCCCCCGGTGCCGTGCCAGCGCTGGCGCCGCTGCCACCTGTTACCTGCTCCCGCCCGGCGCCGCGCCCCGCCCGGCCCCGCCCGCAGCCCTCA